CTCCCTGCAGCTGGGAGCAGCTGTGGGAGCTTTCTCCCTTGCCTCACCCTGTCTCTGCATAGACAACCTCTGGAGTGACCAGAGCCTGGAGACGGACCCTGACCTTCCTCCCGGCTGGAGAAAAATCCATGACTCTCTGGGCACCTACTACTGGCACGTGCCCACGGGCACAACACAGTGGCAGCACCCTGCTCTCTCTAGCAACCTAGGAGGATTCCTGGAGGCTGATGGAGAGGAGACGCTCCAGGAAACGGTATAGGACATGGGCAGGGAAGGAAGGGCTGGTGCTGGATCCCAACAGCCAGTGTGCAGACACGGAAGTGTCTGGGTACTTTGTGCAGCCACTATAGCAGGACTCTGTCACCCCAAAGTCCTGCTCAGTCCATTCCTAGCCAGAGTTAAATCCCTTGAAGAACTTCAGGAAGCCCCACAGTGTCCCCACCCCAGCCATTCCGCCAGGCTGTCCATGAGCTGAGATTGCTTTCCCAGAAGGGAAGCCTCTTACGGGTGCCTCTGCAGATATATGTTCTCCTGACAACCCCTCTTCTCTCTCAGGACTGCCAGGTCTCTGTGGTGAAGCACACATCAAAAGCCAGGCCTGTTCCCAGCCCCATGGCCTCGCTGACCAGGAGGTAAGGTTGCCCCTGTGCTCTGCTGACTTGTGGCCGGGGAAACTCAGGGTTCCACCTACTGAGGCCAGAAGTTTGAGCTGGCACCATGGTAGGATGCGGCCCTGACAGTGGTGTGGGGGTGTTCTGCTGCTCCTTGGGGCTCAGAAATGCTGAGCAGGAGCTTACCACTCCCCACCTCATCCCATCCCTTCAGGACGTCGCTGACATGGCAAGGTGATGACTTCCAGCAGTGTGGTGCAGAGCCCAGCTCCAAGGTAATGCATCAAGGCACTTCCTTGCACACGCACAGCCTGAGGGCTCCCTGCACTACCATGTACAGGCTGCCAGGAGTGGCACAGGAGGGAGGTGGCAGCAGCTGACAGGCACCAGGGTGGGAGCAGGGCTGGCCATATAGGCACAGATACAGATACAGGTACAGGATAGGGCTATGTCGGCCCGGCAGAGGCCCACCATCTCTCTGCTCAGTGCTTTGCTGTGCGTTCACTGGGCTGGGTGGAGATCCCCGAGGAGGACCTAGCGCCTGGCAAGAGCAGCATTGCTGTCAACAACTGCATCCAGCAGCTCTCCAACAGCCAGGGCCGAGGCTCTGCAGACAGCTGGGGAGAGGTGAGCTGCACGGAGGTCCTGCTGCTGCGCTCCGCGGAGTGCAGTGCTGCAGGACGGGGCTGTTCCCATCCTCAGTGTAGTTCTGGGACATGGGACGTGTGCGGCTGGGCCGCTACCAGGTAAGGGTGCCCCCGGCTCCCCGCAGGGCCAGGACCTGGTGATGATCCTGAAGAAGGACACCATGAGCCTGGTGGACCCTTTGGACCACAGCCTCATCCACTGTCAGCCCATCCTCAACATCCGCGTCTGGGGCGTCGGCTGCAACAAGGGCAGGTGCCGGGCGCGGGGCGGGGCCGTGGGTGCGCCGCAGCTCCACCGCTCGGCCCCGGGGGGCCCAGGCACGAACTGACCGCTTCACTCTTCCCCCACCGCCACGCCGCGCACAGGGACAGGTAACGGCAGGTAAAGCTTGTGCGGGGCCGAGCGGAGCGCCGCTTCTGACGGGGCTAAGCTCAGACCTTCGCGGTCTCGCAGGGACTTCGCCTTCGTGGCGAGCGACAAGGACACCTGCGTGCTCAAGTGCCACGTCTTCCGTTGCAACGTGCCCGCCAAGGGCATCGCCAAGGCGCTGCACGGGATGTGCTCCCAGGTGCGCTCCGCGGATCCCTCTCGTCGGGCCGCTCCGGGAGCGCCGGGCCCCGCACGAACCGGATCGCCGTCCCCGGCAGATCGTGGCAGAGCGCGCAGCAGCGGGCGGCAGACTTTCACCGCGCAGCGCCGCGCTGGAGTCCATCTCCGTTGCCACGTGGCCCCTGCGTACAGGTACCGCACGCGACCCGGGAGGATTCGGGGTCCGGGCTGGGGCGGGGGTCCCGCTAACCGCTCGTGTCCCGGCAGCGGACGTCCAGGACGCCGTAGGGAGGCCGCCCCGGCAGTACGAGGCGTTGTACATCGGCAGCCGGCCCGTGCCCAGGGCAATGGGTAAGGCCGCCCCGCCGCAGCCCCTCCGCAGCCCCGCAGCGGGCGGGGAGCACCGCGCGCCTCTCCCCGCAGGGATGGACGTGCTGAACGCCGCCATCGAGCAGCTGCTGGCGGGCCCCGGGCGGCACAGCTGGACGCCCGCCCACGTCTACGTGTCCGACTCGGCCGTGCGGGTGCGGCGGGCGCAGGTGGGGCCGGGGCGGGGCCGAGGGGAGCGCGGCGGGGTCGGGGCGGGACCGGCGTGGCGCCCGCAGGAGGAGGACGGGGCGCACGTGTGGCAGTGCGAGGTGCGCTACGTCACTTTCCTCGGCGTGGGCCGCGACGCGCACACCTTCGCGCTGATCGCCGACACCGGGCGGCGCTTCCAGTGCGCGGCGTTCTGGTGCGAGCCCGACGCGGGCACCATCTCGGAGGCGGTGCAGGCAGCCTGCATGGTGAGCGGGGCGGCGCGGGGCGACGGGGAAGCGGATCGGGAGCCGCCCGCCGCCACGCCGCCCGCGTACCCGCAGGTGCAGTACCAGAAGTGCCTCGTGGCCGCCGCGCCGGGGCCGAAGGCGAAGCGCGCTACCGCCGGGGGGGCGAAGGCGGGCGGCGGCAGCGGCGGCGCGGCGGGGCCCGGTCCGCGGAAGCGCGGGGTGCTGTCGCTGCTGGAGGCGTTCCGCCAGCGGCACGCGCTGCTACACCTGCCCTAACGCGGGGCTGCGGGGCTCGGCCACACCGCGCCCCTCCGCCGCCCGCCAATAAAGCTCCGCAGCCAGCTCTGCCTCCGCTTCGCTCCCGCCCTCGGTTCCGCCCTCGGTTCCGCCCTCGGTTCCGCCCTCGGT